ATAGTTGTTATGAATATCCAAAAGCATTTATTCAGAACACAAGCCTGGTTTTTACAAACAGTTGAGGTGATCAAGGTCATTCAACGCATATTTGTTATTAACAGTTGGAATTGTGCAAGGTTATTTTCTTTCGTTGTCAGTCAGGATGAGTTGTTGGGTTTGTGCCTTGATTTCGAATTTTTTTTCATGGAAATTATGCATTATGTAGCAAATCTATAAGTTCTATTCTAACTGTCTATATGGCGCTGCTAGGTATATCTGGTAATCTGGCTGTTAATTGTTGAGCATGAGTTGAGCATTTTTCAAAGATGAAGAATTCCAATTTACCTGGTTTTGGGGATGAAAATATTTTACCCATTAGGTGTGATTTTCCACCCAAAATTCCCAAAAATGGAACACTGCGCCAGACGCCTGGTGTCTGGACGGCGCCGGGCGGTGCTTGTTGCAGTTTGCTGCTGGTTAGCCTTCCAGGGCACACTGTCGCGGCAGCTTGTAAAAATCTATACTGCTGTCCGACTTTTCTCGGCGCACTGTGCCGCCGCCTGTTGCAGTCTGCTGCTCATCGGTCTTCCTCCGAACACCATATCGGCGCAGCCGGTCGGTATACACGCCCTCGCAGTCCGCCCGCCTCAGTAGCTTCAGTCCAGATCGAGCTCCCTACCAGCAGCTGCACCGGAGGCCGAACACGGCAGGTGCCACACTCCTCTGTCCTCCCATCGAGCGAAGCAACAGGCCGTCTGGCTGCTACACCCCCGCCGCGTCAATCGCTCCGACGGCCCCGCAGCCGTTTTTGTGGCAGGGCGGGCCGACGTAGCGGCAACGGCGCGTGGCGAGCATGTTTCGGCCGCGCACGAGACGCAAACACCCAGCCCCGCAAGCTAGCTGCTACGTCAGGGCCGTCTGAGACCGGCTGCTTTCGGTGTTTCCGGGACTCAGCTGCATCTGCAGCTCCGAGCAGCTCCAGTCCGAACCCATCTGTCCCAATTAGCCACAGAGCAGCAGACACGTCAGCAGCTGCTAGTGATAAACCCAGGTCTCATTCGGTAGCGAAATCCAATCCGCTTGCTGCCAATCAGGGCAAACAAAGTGCCCTGCAGCTTTAGGTAAGACTTCGGTAAACAGAAATGAGTTAATCGATGCCTTAGTTTCACAGAGCTGTGATGTATGTATGCTGTGCTCTACGAATGGCACCTGCTACGAGAAACTGAGGTGAGTGCTACTGCTAACAAACATATACCAGTACTGCTAATACCATTGCTGGTGAGTGGGCTTTCGCTCGTAATCTACCGTTCGACATCACGCTTCAGCCGCAATCGGCCACGAGCCGCAGCTTCCGGTTAGTTCTGTTCGTTGCACGATGAGACAGCTTCGCCGGCAGCGCGCAGCGAACAGTGATCTGAACCCGCTGCTACCACACCCACACATGGTACCGAGTTATCACGTCTGCGACATTCACTCAGACGCCCACAGCATAAACCGCGATACCGTGCCGGCAGTATTCGCTCACACACCCACGGCATAAGCCACGATACGGCATCTGCGGTGTCAATTCCGTCTGAACTCCTTCCGTACTCAGCCCGCACGGTAGTCCAACCGATGCACCACCGCGCCTCCACAGGCGCTGACCACAGGGCGTCTACCCCAGGTCCACCCCAGCCGGCCGTCCATTGACGTGCCGGGGATTAGCGGAGCGCGGGACTTAGGCAGTTGGGGGCTCACGCAGGCGGGAGCGGCGACCTGGGGACCCCAGCCGGCCAATATAGATCGAATATGGATTGTTAGCGTGGATGTTGTGCTCGCGAACCAGCTCAGTGGCACCGCTGCTGTAAGAAAATGCAACACGGAAGACGTACTAAGGGAAGTACGACAGTTTTTACCGGCATAAAAGAGGACATCTGAGTTGAGGTAATTGGAGAAAATGAGCGCAAATAGTTACAGCGTAGTACTACAAAGTACAAATAGTAATACAAATAGTACTACAAATAGTAATAAATATACAAATAGTAATAAATATAGACGTGACTACAAATAGTAATAAAAGTAGTACAAATAGTACTACAAATAGTAATAGCGCAAATGTACATGCCGGTCGCCACTTATACCCTCGAAGACAGGTGTAGCTAAGAGCCGAATCGTGACAATAAATTGTTAGATTAAGTGCGGTTTCTGTTCTTCATTCGGTAGAGGACATAACAGGCCTGAAATCCGTTACCATCTCATCGATAGCATTGGTGAGGTGCTAATCGTCAGTCATCACGAGAATGCCTGTCATGTCTGGTCCTCCGAGAACCCAGGCCAGACGCCTCAGGAAGACATCCTATCTAATCTAAACGATCGTGATTTCTCTTCAATCCAACCATTTCCATTCCCTTCTGATCGTATCGGTGCCTTTTCCTTTCAAACCAATCGATATCCATTTGTTCAAATCTAATCGATTCTGATTACCTATACCTTCAGTGACAGATTTAACTTTTTATGTAGAGTGAAGTCCACTCTCTAGCCTATTCGGATTAGGCCTCCCATTCACCTTCAATCCGTCCGTCTTTCCTATCGTCCTCGAGCGGGTGTTTACCCCATCGCGGCCGCTCGGCGGCGGCGTCTCTAGGGACGATGTGACACGGAACCGTCACGCTCTGACCGTGTCGCGTCACGCAGCACGACACCGAGACTGGCCGCGTCACGCCGAGCAGCACGGCGAGCACGACACGAACACGACAGAAACACGACATGAGCACGACCGGCGCGGCCGGGGCACGTCTCACTAATCCTGAGACAGGGCGGGCGTCGGACTGACCGACTTTTATGCACTGGTATCTAACATTCCTGCCAGGCCACACGTAGGGACTAATGATAGAATAAGTTCAAGTAATCTTAACTGAGTGCAGGCTGAAAATCGTCTGAAAGTCGTCGCCCACAAGCGGAAACATACGTTTTGTTGTCTTCCGATGCGTAGAGCGGACTGTTAGCTGAACAAGCAAGCGGGAATGGCCGCCTTGGACGTGAGCTCAGCGGCGCTGATGGCGGCTCAATTTACCACCGCCTGGACCCGTCCCGAAGACGTATGGTCCGGCCGGCCGACGGGTTGATTGTTACAGAGCACTGCGGACCCGTATTTAGCGGGACAGCAGGCGTGACAAGTGGTTCTACCGCGTGGTAGAACGGGCCAAGGCGGTCTCTTTGGCCGCGGAAACTCCCTAAGCGCCGAGCTAACGACGATCGGGCTCACCCGATCATCGGAACGCACTGCTTCGACCGGCCGTCGAACGAGCGATGAGCAACAAAGAGGTGGAACCGAGTGCCAATCCCTTCTTTACGGCGTGTTTACGACCTGTGTTCGGCGGTGTGGACCAGGCAATCAGGGCCGATCGCGCAGAGAAAGCCCTCCGGAATGCGTCCACTTAGCGGCCTCCTGGTTCGACCGTCATCGGAATTAATTGCCAGCATGACTGTGAAACGCTAACAAAGCGGCTATCCCAGCGGCCAGCCGCCGCGTGCGATCGATTGTCCGGGGAGAAAGGCTGACCGGGGGAGATCCGACGGGGAGACTCTCCGTCAGTCGGCCACCCTCCGGCCGGCCGACTGACCGCAGCTCAGAGGAGACTGGAAGGTGTCTCTCCGCAGGTTAGGTGGAGACTGGAAGGTGTCTCTCCACAGCTCACAGACAGGGTGCCCCGTGCGTCAGCGCCGGTCTCGGTGATGCAGCTTGCCCGCTGTCGTCAGTGGTGAATGGTCCCAGCAGACGGACGCCGGCGACTGCGACTGCGACACGCGTGACCGGCCGGCGGACGGGGATGGTGCTCAGAGGCCCCAGGGCTTCAGAGCTGCGCAATAAGCACTATGCAGTGTGCACGAGAGGCACACACAGGGTTCCTGAAGTGAGCAGTGTGCACAAGGCCGCTCCGCTCAAAGGCGCACACAGGGGCTCAGGTAGCGGTCTTGCCAATGCCGTATGGATCAAACCTGATTATGTCATGTCATGCAGAGAGTGATGTCTGGTTCGATGAGTATGAGGAATGGATCAAAAAAGAAATCGAACATCAGAAGCGGACCTTCACAGGCACCGCAGACACGTGGGTGACACCGAAAGCAGAGCAGCGCCACTGAGACTATATGTCTTGCTTTCTCTCGGTACGAACATTAGAAAATAGTTAGGAGCCAAGGTAAAGAAATGAGAACTCAAAGGAGAAGAAAACTCTTCGGCGTATTCGATGCCGGTAAATTATTTACAGAAGTCCCTCGGTAAAATAAACAAGACTGTTTACGCACCGCTAAAGCCCGCATGGTGAAAGATGGACTGCCAGTAAACCCAGGTTTATTCCCAGCCGCGTCTTGCTCGACAAAAAGGATAGCCATCACCGGCACGGCAGGCACGCCCTAAACACACTCACGTCACAAAACCGCCCAACGCGCCCTGCAAAAAGCGCCCGCCGAGCGAAAAACCCGCTGGGAGCGCCATCAGGAAGAGCCAAACCTGCTGAACGGTTCAGTGGGCTGCACCCATGCGCGATACGCAGGGCGTGCGCTGAACCCGTGGAGGAAGGGGTGCGCAAAGTGCACTGCACACGAAGTCCGGAGGGTCGTGTTGGGTGTGCAGTAGAGATGTTAATCGGATACCAAATTTTTGGTATACCGATACCAAACCGATACCAACTTGGTATTTGGTATTTCAATCGTAATGTGTTTGGTATTTTGTTGGTATCATGAACCCTCACTAATGTATAAAAGGCTAAGAAATCGGTAAAAAGTTGATATTTCCCTCATTTTTCCAAGTTGGTTTGGCTTCAGTATTTCCCCATGGTTTTGGTTGGTAATTGGTTTGGTATCGGTATTCCGATTTTCCGTAATTGACATCACTAGTGTGCAGTGTGCAATGTGCATTGTGCAGTTCACGCCAAAGATGTAGTTAGGTTAGGGAAGAAAGTGGGGGAGGGGCTTCCCCATGGGTCCACGATGTACCCAAGTTTGGGTGCGACGGGAATTGCTACTCTGGCGGCACTCACCCTCCTGGTTTCGATGTCGAGCGGGAGTCGTTCTCGCTGTGTGGTCGGTGTGCAGGTGAAGAACTTGGAGCAGCGCATGCCGTCACTCCTGCCGGAGAAGGGAGGAAGGGTCGTCAGGCATCCATCACTCGTTATCAGACGCCATTGGGGAGGGGACGTCTTGCATCGAGAACTGCCATCGACTCACTTCTTTTGATAGTCATCACATGACACTGCTGCAGCTCTTGTGACAGAAATTACGCTGAATTCAATGGCAAACAACGGTCTTTAACATTCAGCGCATTGTGATTACATGCCTTCATGGACTGAGGCATAAGCAAGCGCGTGAAAGATGGCCGTAACTCCCATAAGCATGCACGTGATTTACGATTACACAAGGTATTCACATAGCGATGGTTGATCTTCATGCCCGATTCACGCGATCAGTAGAAAAATGAATCGACTGATCGCCACTTCCACGTACTGCTAAGTGTCCACCGCCCCCACATTCCCGCGGCTCGTTGGACCCATTTTGATGGATTCACGCCTTCCCCTCCTCCCCACTCGTGGTGCCCATACAGACTGCGTGTTGAACTCAGCCGGCTGGGCAGGGGTCGCGGTCATACATCACCGGAGGTTAGATAACCCGCTACACCCCGTCACCCGGGATGACTCTCACCACATACCATCTGCGACACACGTGCCATCTGTAATGATCTGACCCACGTGTCCTCCTTAATGACCTTGTTCACGTGTTACCCGTAATGGCCATAACCATATGTCTCCGTAATGGTCTTGTCCACGCGCCCTTTCTTTACCCACACGGGAATCATGATGTGATCCAATCCAAAAAGATTTAGACGGAAAATAACACAAGCTACGAGTTCTGGTCATACAGATGGGAAAACATAATTGACTTTTCTTTCCCTAACGTTCCAAAGGTAATAACTTCACCCTCAAACAATGCTAATTATCGGTATAATCGTGTAATTAACAGTTCGTTCAGCAATCCCCAATATGATTGTCAATTTTCATCTAGAAATATAGCCTGCATAACACGACTAGTCAATAAATAAGCCATGGCTATGAGCTAGGGATTGGATGCGATGACTCTCGCTATTGTAAAATCATACGATCAGTTATTGAAGGCTCTATATAATCCGAGCCCGCATATATTCCCCCAATCTCATATTGATCACTAAGCTGTCAGCAGTTCATCAGTCCCGAATGATTCAGTGGACAATATCATATCGGGAAACATGTAAAACTTGATGTCATCTCGTTGCAGTCAGCGTATTCGCGCCGCAATAAATGCAGCTGTGCCACTGGTGGCTATTCAATATTCATTATTTATAGCCTATGGCTCGAGCGAGGCAGAAGACTTGGTGAACCAATTAGTAACGTTTTTAAGCCAGTGGGGTGGCACCTATAGCCCGACTAAGGGAACCACATCATTCACGTCAATCCCTGACTACATCAACCAATGACACCCCAAGCCAAGTCAACTGGATAAACAACATTCATAAGAGAATTGTGCAGAGACACTGGTCCAACGAGCCAAAACCAACTGAGCCACAGCCGTCCATCCTTACACCACGAAACCAAGAAAAAGTATACGTTTTCAACGACAGGATGGGACGACGAGAGACAGCCGAGACGGGATCACCAGTGCCAGGGTCCCCAAACGTTCAGCATATGGTCGTCATCTCAACCCGTGGTGACATATGGACACAAGTCTACAATCACATACGGCAGCCCTCAACACGCTGTGCAGCTAACGCGGGTCGGGGTGCCGGTCAGCGTCCAACCTTCCCCTGTGAAGAGGTACGGGTACGGTCAACGAAGGAGATGGGTTTCTGCTCAACGACTCGTCGTCGTGTGGCTGCCGAGATGACTAACAAACACGACCGATTGGCCTCATGTCGGCGGCCATAGCCATCTGTCTGCAAAGAGATCCTAGATCAACACTCAACGGAGCGGTCTGAAGAGTCTGGAAGATAATTGCAGGACGAGAGATGGACGTGTGTGGATGATACCCACACACATCTCTGAGCAGAACAGATAGAGTTGGATATGTGATGGCATTATCCATTCAGAAATGGCCATAGGATGATATTGGATCCCAGTAAGCTAGCCGATCGATACGAGATTGATAATGAAGTGGGCTCCTTCATGGCATAAATGGATTACAGAAAATTATTTCGTCTCCCGTTATGATGCCTGTACTTACCAAACGTTTTTTTTATTGATCTGATAGAATGCTTGCTGATAAGTCCGGACCATGCAAAGCGAACTGCATAAACTCTCATGCAGCCATCAGGTAGGTAGCCGCGGCGCATAATTGATAAGGCTCGCTACGTAAAGGAAAAATGAATTCCATTAGCGGAGCCGCATTTGTAAGGTAAGTGCAGCATTATACTACGATCGCAGCGCAATGACAAAAAGACGTTAACCTTCCAGGCGGTGGGGGGGGCATTTTTTTGCCCCCCCCCCCTTTAGTTTTTTTCAATATATCTCGAGAACCGCTGCGCCGATCGTCACCAAACTTTCAGTACCCTGCCGGGAGCAGCTAGCGCACATGGTGACCAAACATTTTTCCAAAGGCTATGATAGGTTGGCCACTAATGACGTCAGAGTGACGTCATTTTTGCCATTTTCGACCCAAAAAAAGGTTTCGCGGGAAGAGCTGTCAGGCCTACAGCTTTAGAGATACAGAAAAATGTTTCAGACATAAAAGGTGTGGAATCAGAAGGGCTACAAAACTGCCATTTCGGTTTTTCAAATGTTTTGGATTTTGACCCCCAAAAATTAAAAAATAGATTTTTTGAATATAATGGCCAAAAAATCCAAAAAGTTTTTTGAATTTCGAAAAAACCGGAATATATGTGATAGTCCCTACCGCCTTCTATCTACATGCCAAATTTGAGATCGATACCTCTTTTTTTGGCCAAGTTATAGCGAAAAAACTGTTCAAAATTGATGACGTCAAATTTTCAAACTCAATTTTTAGCAATTCTAGAACTCGTAGCGCAAAACAAAGACCACCATTAGACTCCCCGTGACGAGCTGCATCGAATCGATACCCATTTTATGCAAAATATCAACTTTGAAATTTGACCTTTTTTGACCTGACCTTGACCTGACCTCCACCAGAAAGTGACCTAAACCGTACCTGATGGTCTTATAACCAACACCATTGAGTTGGAAATGAAAAACTGGCCATAAAACATGCATCGCATAACCTTAGTAAAGTTGGGCTCATGTGGTGACCCTTGGTGACCTTTGGTGACCTGACCTGTGACCTGACCTGGTATGACCAGTGACCTCTAATAGCAACATATGTACTAGAGAACTGACGCCTTATCGCTGATTTTCAACAAAATGCGTTTTACTCGGTGTTATAGCGCTTTCCCTAGAATCCCCGTGAACGGTTAAACATTTTATCTTTGACCTGACCTGTGACGTCATCGGTGACCCCGAGGTCAATAAAACTTGGTTTCCCTCAACAAAATTTGGCAGGGCTATCGAACGCCGTTTGAATTTTCCGGATCCGTCCAGTAGTTCCGGAGATACGGGGGGGGGGGGCAAAAAAATGCCCCCCCCCACCGCGCGGAAGGTGGCTGGTAGGCCCACCGCCTGCCGGGTTAAAAGGACAAGAAAAACATCTGTAATTATCCAAGCCATCACGGCATAATCAAGCAAAACTAAAAATTGAAATATCTCATGATATACCAAACGGCAGGGGGCTAACGATTGAGTGAAGACCCATTAAGCGACGAGGCGAATGAACAAACCGTCGTCATGAATTCAGGGTTGACAAACGAGCCAACCTTGGTATAATACACGATCGGTCCTACATCAAAGGCTATAATTGTATCTCGAACCGCAATAGACCATCTCAGGGATTATTCATGATTATTGTATGGAGTTCCCGAGGTCGGGTAGGATTTAATCGTGGCGGGAAGAGCACATTTCATTATTGAGTTATTGGAATAAGATGCATCTTCAATAAATTTGAAATTATGAATAATTAGTAGTTGAGTTATCATGCAAGCATTCATTTGCTCTAAGCTATAGCTAAGCGGTATTTGTGACCACAAATATAGAAAAGGGTGAAATCAAAAAATCAGAAACAAGCAAAACAGTTTTTGACTACAATAAATTGGATAATCTCATACAACATTTAGTAACCAAACTTGAGGATTTGGATATGCAAACTGATCCAGAAATAGCATGTGAAAAAATTGTGGAATGCTACAAGGAGGGTATTTTCATGTTTTCAAAAACAATAATTTGTTCAAGGAAAAACAGTTTCATCAAGCCATGGATGACCCCAGCCCTCCTCTGTTCAATAAATCACAAAAATCAACTATTTGCCAACAAACTTAAACAACCTAACCCATTTAATATATCAAAGTATAATGCTTATCGCAATTGTCTTAATAGGGCTATACTAAATGCAAAAAAGTCTTACTACAATGCAGAGTTTACAAAACACAGAAAAAAACCCTAAGAGGACATGGGAGATGCTCAGTGAGCTGTTAAAACAAAAAAGCAAATGTGATATCCTACCAAATGAACTACAAAGCCCTGATAATAGACACGCTGCAGCAAGATCAATGGCAGAGAAATTTAACAAGTTCTTTACTGAAGTAGGAGAAACATTAAAACAAAACATTACCAACATTAACATAGATCCCCTAGAAAACATTGAAAATGCAACTGATGAAATAGCAGCGTTTAACCAGGTCAGTGAGATTGATGTCGAACAAATTATACTGCAATTAAAAAATGTAGGGGCTGGTATTGATGGAATTAACAGTAAAATATTGAAATGCACATATAAACCAATCCTGTCAAAACTCACCCACTTCTTCAACCTTTGCCTCTCAACAGGGATATTTCCTAAACCTTTGAAAATTGCAGAAGTTAAACCAATCTTTAAAAAGGGTGATGCTGACTGTATCTCCAATTACAGGCCAATTAGCATCTTGCCAGTTATATCAAAAATTCTGGAAAAAATAGTCTTTAATCAGATGTCAGATTTCATATCAAAAGGAAACATTCTTACAGAAAATCAATTTGGATTTAGAAAGAAAAATTCCACTTATATGCCAATTATGCTAATTCAAGAATATATACCCAATGCCCTTGAGAATAATGACCTCGTAGTTGGGATCTTTTTGGACTTATCCAAAGCATTTGACACGGTAGACCATGAAATAATCATAAAAAAGCTCACTAAAATTGGATTCCGAGGAAATGTGCTACAATTATTGAAATCGTACCTCTCAGAACGGAAGCAAATAGTACAGATTCTTGGAGAAAAATCAGATCCAAGAGATATAAAGATCGGAGTGCCGCAAGGGTCAATTTTGGGGCCATTATTATTCATATTATACATAAATGATATAGTTAAACTTGAAGTAAAAGGCCAATTTATGTTGTATGCTGATGATACGGCAATATTTTTCAAGCACAAAAACAAAGAAACTCTACAACAAACAATCAATGTGGCCATGAGTAAGGTATCAGACTGGTTTAAAGCCAACTATTTAACAGTAAATGAATCAAAAACTGTCATGCAAATATACAGTAAGCGGAAATCTGCTGAAGCAATAAAAATATACATAAATGGAAGTGCTGTGAAAGAAATGAATACAATTAGATACCTAGGAGTTGTTATAGATGCTGACCTAAAATTTACATCTCACATAAGCAATATATGTAACATTGTAAGCAGAAATATAGGAATGATATCCAGAGTGAGACATTTTCTTCCTAAACAGCAACTTCTCCAGTTATACAATTCGCTTATTTTTCCATATCTAAATTACTGTTGCTTCATATGGGCTTCTAACTATGATGAGCAACTTCGAAAACTGGTCATTTTACAAAAGAGATCAATGAGACTTATTGAAGGCATATTCCCCCCTCAAAGTGCTACTCCTATCTTCAAAAAATATAACATACTTAAAGTCAAAGAAATGGCACACTTACAAATAATGCTTATTATGCATAGGCATATACTACAAGACCTGCCCGACCCTGTAAGTCAGTTACTTCAGCTAAGTCCAGAGCCTATTCATCAAACAAGGAGGGCAAATCACTTTGTGGAAAAATTCTCGAAAAAGAACTATAGACTATTCACATTTTCCTACATTGGACCCAAATTATGGAATAAATTCATTTCAAGAAATTTTCTTCTTAATGAAGTACCTCGATGCAAGACAACATTCAAAAGACATCTTAAGAACATGTTGGTAAATGCTTATTAGCCACTCAGCTATCTTCATCACAGATTCTAAACATATATTCAGAAAGCACAATCAAAATGCATATGTTCCATGGCATATGCATAAAAATTGATCAATATACTTGATTCATTCACATTTGTGAAATGGTGCCACCCAAATAATGGACTCTGGATTTGTTTAGGTCCCTCGGCAACAAGCTCTGCTTAGCCGGGGGACCTACTCAAATTCCGGCACTGACCCTGCATCCACAGTGACCAGAATTGTTCCTGCCTAATTGACCTTTCTTCGACTGAGCAATATGAGTAAATGTGCTCTACTAACAACATGAATGTATGCAATGGTATGGATGAGTTCTTTCTTGGGCGTAGATGGGGGGCAGTCATCTGTTGAGTTCAGCAGTGACTACTTTCGCCTTCTCTCATGTAGCATTAACAATCCCTCCAGCCTCCTTTTGCTTTTTTTTTTGTTCACTTCAGTCTCTTAGCTGGGAGTGCCGCGACTTTTTCTCTTTATTTTATCTGGTGTTAACGTACGGTTCTGTGAGTCGCTGGGTTGAGGGCGGGGGCACTCCTGGTCACCTACTTCTGGGTGGCGGTGTAGTTTCTTTAAAAAAAAAGCTATTTCGGGCATTTAATATAAATGTAAGTAGGTAACGTAATTAATTATGTGAGTGCCCTCTACCCATGACGGCGGAATGAGCTATCAAATGTCGCGTTAACTCGCCCACTTTTGCCGCCCCAGTATCGCATGGCACAGCAAACAGCGCGTTACGAACCGAGTCCCGGAAACCGACACGGGCCCGCTCGTAACGCGCCGGTTAGTGTCGCTTTCACCGTGAGCGAGCCGGAAACGAGGAGTCACCCGCGTCACCTGACGTAACCCATCGTCACTGAACGTCACCTGACATGGCCCGGCGTCACCCCACGACACTGGGTGTCACATAGCGTCACTCAGGAACATCACCGCACATAACAAAACGTCAGTCGTCGTATCATTTTGTCACCCAACGTCACTCACGATAGCGTCACTAGGTAACGTCACTTATGTAACGCCACTCGGGATGACGGCACACACATGGGTTACTGCCACACCTACCGCACGATGTGGAGAGATTGGAAAACTACGGAAGCCTCACCAATGGATGAAGGAGTCGACTTTTACAGCTGGAATAATCAAATGGACTAATCAGCTGGACAAATCGTCGCTGAACTTATCAACCAAACACACGCGCCCATCACTGCTTCATCGCGCGGCACAGGCGCAGCACGGGGGCTGAGGTCGAACTGAACTATGGTGTCACCGGTCCGCGCCAGCCGGGGTCCCTATCTTATCGCAGGCCGCCGCCTTCTGGCCATATGGCAGCACACATAGTTACCGACGCACGTCACTTACACAGCACACAGTGTGTGTGTGGGGGCGGTGTGCACTGACACCGGTAAACAGTGTATAACACGCGTTGATACCGGTACAACGGAGTACAACGTGTGCACACCCAGACACCTGCATGAGGATTACACGACGTATGTGCTTGACAGCTCACGTGTACACCTGTGCGGATCGTACTTGCCAAGTACCAACGGTGACTTGACGGCAGCCTCGGAAATGGAACTGACGAAGTCGCTCCCGTTCAAACAACTGGAAGGGACCGCCGCGACACGAGACACCCGTCAGAGATCAATACCGAGCCTCCGCGAGCGACAGACGCCGCGAGAACGCGAGCCCGCCTCCAGTTGAGCTGACATTAAACAGACAGCGACCAGAATACAGCAGGAGGCGTGAGGGAGGTCCGTCCAGGCGCCGCTGCCGAATATCGGCCAGACTCCGCCACCGAATATCGATCGTCCCGCGGAGAATCGCCGACAAGCTCCGATGACATTAGTCCGATGACATGGTCCAGTCACGGCAGCCGCCGCGCGCTCACACCGACTGCCGGGGGACAGTGTGCTGTTGTGTCCATTCCTCGGACCACACCGGTGTCGGTACTGACACGCGCGAAATGCTTGCTGATCGACGATCGTTCCAGTCCGGACATAATCAGCCGGGTCTGGGACAGAGCGAACCCATCCGCTGGGTAACTCGGCAAACACCGAACCATACATTGATGACTCACAGCATCACTCATACCTGTTGGCGCCCACGACGGGACCGTGCTCACCAGACCAGAATCACAACTCACCAGACTAGTTGAAACTCACCCTCTCACGGCTCACCCATGAAACCCGTCAACACCGCACACACCGTCACACCGACACACCACTCACGCCGCGCCGCGTCGGACTGCGGCCTCAGCCTTCGACGGCCGTCCGTTTGCCGAGGGCCGCTCCCCTGTGTCCCTTCCCCTCCAGTGACCGTCTCCGCTCCCTTCGGACAGCACTTACAAGACCTCCCCTCTGTACTGATATCGACCTATCTTTCGAACAGGCCCGCCGCCGCCGACGGCAGCGCCCCTGGCGGTGAGATGTGGAATCGGTGGCAGTGGGATCAGAGGCCGGTAGCCCGAGGCTCTGCCCCTTCTGCGAAATCATCTCCGAGTTACTCATTGTAAAGGCAACCTCAAAAGGCGGCTGCATATAGCAACACATTATTCAACTTCAAAGCATCAAGCAGAGTCTGGTTCCACTGAAATTTAACTAGACCGAAATGGCAAGTAGATTTAAAAGCATGAAATTGGGGCATATTTCATTAACTGGTGACTACCAAGCGGTTTGTAATGGATGAATTACTATTGGGAGACATGTTAGTATCACCAACAACCCCTGATTAGTTTCAGAAATCATCGTTGGATTACACAGAGAAGCTCACATAAAGGCTTACCACGAATATATTTTATCATCACAAAATGCGGAAGCAAAAATATGGTGATAGCAGACGGAGACCCAACTTTTACTTTGAAAAGCGACATTTAATAACCATGCCAATCAATACAGTTCATGGGACGAATTTCATATACCATTTTAGTACATTATGTAGGTACAATGACAAGACCGCGTCCAAGTAAATGCCCCCATCACCCAGTCCCGTTTATGCCTAAAGAAAAAAAAAAACACTGAATGGACGAACCAGTCCCAAGCTTGTTGATAGCTCGTGCCAACTCATGCATTCATGCATTTTTCTGACATCCTGAAAACTGAACGTGCACGTGAACGTAACTGAGCAGATACCAATCAGCGGTTTGCATTTCAATGCTCCACTGACGTCATAGATGAGAACTGACAAAATCGGGCCCGTGCACGCGACTCGCCAGTCACGCCTTATACCCGTTAGTGGCTGTGGACTGGCCTGAGGAATGAAGAAGTGTAGCTGATGGACGCCTCGCTGGAGCCTTCAGCGAGGCTGCAGCGCTGACGGAGCACCGTCTCATGTGTGCAACTTATGTGAGTGCGGGGAGGTAGGCTCGGATCCTACCTCACATAAGCTCTGCTCTAACTTGACCGGGAACCTGGCTAACCTGCCAGGTGTTTTCACCTGATCTCTCAAATTTCGCTCCACCCCGCTCTGACCCGACAGCGACCCGACCTGGCCCGACCGTCGACTCACCTGAAGAGGTCGAGCTGCCGCAATACCACCACTGGGTTCTGGACGGCCTCCTGGTAGAGCCTCTCGATGGCCCCCGGTCGACTGTCGGCAGTGAAGAGCAGCCGCTCCTCGCCATAGTTGGTGTGGTGGTGCTCGGTGCGCTCGCTGAATGCCGTCAGGTCACTCTCAGCTGCGGAACGAGGGAGAACAGGGGTCACACTGGGTCACAATACAGGTCACGGTGCGGGTCATGGTCACTGCAGGTCACATCGAAGGCATGGGTCATATTAAAATAATACAGCCTACAGGCCACGGAGAAGGCATGCGTCACACAGGTCGCGTGACAGGTTTTACGTAGAGATGAGGTGTGTCACAGCAGGTCGCAGAAGAAGTCCCAGAAGGGTTACACAAATCAGCGGTGCTATCGAGGTTACCACTAGGTTTTCAGTCACTACATGATAGGACAAGCAGGCGTATTGAGCGCATCGTAAGCCAAAGGGCATTGCTATCTCGTTAAATCCCGGCACGACCGGCCTATAGCCCCGTGGAGACCGTAAGTTTCGCGAGCTCCACCAGGTTTCGGCGGTGTCAAAGTGACACTGTAAACACAATTGAAGTGTTGTAGAAACGTGACGGTAAAGCAAAGCACACATGAAACTGCACTGATGATCCCAAAAAGCACCCAGCAACATGGTATATCACAGGAACAACTACTACAAAACCTATTGTTCCAGTGCCTGACACCCACTGCACCGTAACTATTCCCCGATATCCATCCACGATCTCTCAGCTGGCGCTGAGTCAGCCGGCTCAGCCGACCAAATCCGCTCAATCGGCAGTGTTCATCTCTTCCTCAATGGGTCTGCAGGGGCCTGCAGCGGCCTGGCGGGGCGCCGGCGAGCCGCGAGGCGCCGCCTCTCTGGCCGCACCTGGCGCGCGGGCCGCATACCGCGGCGGCCGGCACCTGACATGGCTGCAGTCCGCAGAGCAGGACCGTGACCGCCGCCGGCGCCGGCACCCTCTCCGCCAAGGCCGAGACGGACCGGGCCGGGCTGGACTGACTGGACGCCCGAGCCGCGCCGGACGGAGCCCAGCCCGTGCCGGCCCGGCGTGTGTTCCAGGGTCGGCAGGGTATCGATGGAACACAAACGGAGCCCCAACTGAGCCGTAACACAGCAAAATACTAGCGGACGGAGCACCGTAGTACCGTGGGATCACCAGCCGGCACAGGAAGCAGGAACAATCATCCGCCGCCGGCAGCGATAATCCTCCATTCACGGATTTGTCGGCCGGTGCTGGTGACCACACGGCCACACGGACAACGACCACACGGAAAAGTACGGGTGACCATAAAACCGGTGCCGGTGTGATATAGGTTTGGGACGTGCTGATGGTCCAGGAACTGAGGTGCAGTTAGGGTATCTCCTGTGGAGCTGTGGAGGTCACAGTTTTGGCGCGCAGTGCCGGCAAGGCGCGCAGTTCAAACGGAACCGGTCGGCGAGCACAGACACTGTTGCCGGGCCGTTTGTCACGACCGAGATTACCGACACGCACGCCGGCGGCTACAAGGCGGAGGCACCGCCGCTCTGTTTGTTATACAGTGTCGGTGGAAGGCATAGCACGTCGTGGACTCTCACGGCAGAAGGAGGCACCAAGAGAACTGTTCGCTGCTAATGTTGGTGGTCCCACTTTCAGTCATAAGCATAAGAAAGCACGGAACACGGCAATTGATTTCGAGGTTTATTGAAAATAAATGCTAGGTTTGCATCCGTTTCAACACAGGATGTGAGGAGTTGAAGAGTTAGCAAAGGTTCAAAAGCACAAATCTTCCACAGAGCACGTTCTGATCCTAGATCTCCACCCGAGCGGCCCAAGGATCCAGACCAAGGCTCCATTCAAAGTGTCCCTCCCCAAACAAAATCTGTGTAACCAGCATCACACATCCCGGGACCCCACACATTAGCACCGGCAGCGCCTCTCATGGTCACATCTCGCCCAACGAGGCCCTTAGGCGACACCCCACGATCAGCACCGCGGGACACACAGGAACGATCACCTCCTTCGGGGCCGCAGGTGCACCCTGGTGATTCTTTACTGCCCTGGCCGTGGCCAGACGCAGCGGGAACGATGCGCCCTGACCGGACCTGAACGGGACCAGTGGAGCCCACCTTCGGCACGACGGGCAGTCTGATCTGGGAGATAAGAACGCCGCCGAACGCCGTAGAGGAGACTAACGACGACCCACGACGTCCTGATGATGTGGCGGAGATGGCACGAGTGGTCATTTAAGCATCCGGCGGGAGGGGTTCGTGAGTTCCATAGGAGACATGTGGGTTGAACGGTATTTGGAGGATTCTAGAATACGGTAGCAAATAATTTTGGCAAATTGACATGCCAAGATGGCTTGACTCAGTAGACCACAGCCCATCATTGTTCAGCATCCCGTCTAGTCCTGGATGAGTCGAGACCGGTTCCCTTGACCAGTTCCTCGGGTCTCTATTTCCAGTCTGCACGGCGCAGAGAACAGATGTGGACAGATGACGGGGTCGCAGAGGGCTGTTGCATCACACCGCCGACAGGTCTTCTGACGCGTCATCCATCATCGTGCGTGTGAACATCTGATACCTAGCCGGTCTGGTACGTCGCATACATCTGATACTGCCCGCCCCGTTCGTCTGGTTACGCTGAAGTCGCCGCCTTTAGCTGGTTGGAGCGGGCTGGAAGGAGCGCCAACAATAGTTCGGCTTACCAAGACCGTCGTTCACAGTCGCATAGCCCGCAAGGAGGACAGCCTCGGGACCGAACAAGCCTTCAGCAGCGCGGAGCCACCCCGTTCACTGGGGCGGATGCGCATTGTTCGTGTCCGTCGGGGCAGCGTGACGCGTTGTAAGGAGCCTTCCATCCTTCCACAAAGGTTGACAGTCTGAGCCATCCCTGTCAGGACTGCCGTTATCCGACCGATGACCGTTCCGTCTTCAGTGTTGCTCGGTGAATTGCAGGTGAATGACGGCCGCGGGATAGTCCGCAGACCACCCAGTGTCTGAGAGACAGCCTTTGACGACGCACCGATCCCAGCGTGGCGCACTGGATTGACGACCGCCCGGCCCAGTAGGCTAGGGGTCATTTTTTCAAAATGGCCCTGGTTTGTCAGGTCTGTTCATTGTTCACGATTCAGGGGATCTGTTCAGTGTTCACCGTTTATAAGTGATGGAGCAAACAAACACAGAGCAGCGCCAAAGAATACAAAGGAAAATAAAGAATATTAGATGATCTTTTCTGAGACGGTCCAGGAGCGTCGAAGATGCGGGGCAGCGGAGTCGTTGGCAACGAAAGATTGGGAGCTAGGGAGACGGGCTAGCGACGCTTCCTTGTGAATCAGGAGTCAAGAAGGAAGTCATGGACGAATAGAGCCACTGAAGACGCGCGGACAAACACCAGACAGCGCCGAATGACGCCGGACAGGGTTATAGCCGGACAGCGCCGACAGACGGACAGACCGAACAGTCACCAGACCTCGCCGACAGCTGTATGACAGCAGGCGGTCTCCGGCCGCTGCGTATGTAGGACGCGCCTGGTGGTAAGATAATGGGCCGTGATGGCCGCGGCACTACCGACCGGAGCGGTTAGGCGGCGACCACATGTAGGACAGGTGCCCGCGGTACAGTGACAGCCGTCTGCGGTTACAGATCGACTCAATTATAAACGCTGGGTCAGCCGGAACTAGATGGTCGGTGAACCGTTAGTCCGGGCTAATTTCATCGGTTAAATTAATATTTATCTGCTCAGGAGAGCCCTCAAACTGTCCCACATTTTAGACAGTCATGAAAGGAAACGATGAATCAAGAGTCAGGCCAACACGCCATACGCTTACGTTCAACTTCTTGCTCGGACAATCTGAGAAATTTATGCGGTATTCATTGCAGGTCCCGACGTGCATTCACCCTAATCCTTCCGCATGACGTATTCAAGCACCACCAACACAGCCGACATGCAGGAATGTATGCCCGAATGGGCGCATCCACTGCACGACAACCCGCCGCCAGCGGCCCGGCATGCCTACAAACGACACACCGTAAAACTGGTAACACGCCGCGGTTTTACCCGGCCACAAAACCGTCACTACCGGCGGCTCACAGGCGCCGCCGTCACCACCGCCGACCTGCGGAATCCGAGCATTGGTACACTGGCCCTCAGCACCAGTACCGAATGGTCGCCGCTAGTGGTAGGTACCGTCATGACGCCGGTAACAAAGCCGGGCGATCGGCGTCATCGCACACCCTCCGGCACCACCGTCCACCATGTCTCCGTCACGGACCGGAACCGGTGCCGTTACTAATCGCCGCGCTACGTTCGCCACATCCTCTAGGCTGCGCCATGTTCGCCACATCGACTGGCATCCGTGCCACGTGGCACGTTCGCTGTCCCTCCAAGTTCACGAGTTTCGAGGTTCGGCCGCCGGCGATGCCAGGCACAGCTCACAAAGACAGACTATAGGCGAGCAAATGGTCAAATTTAGCTAGAACTTGAAAAGAACTCAGACTGCGAGTTATGCTGATGGAGGTTAAAACGAAAAATGTGTCCAGGTGTTCACCGTGTTATAACTTTCGGCCTGAATGGAAAGTGCCCTTATAAGAAATTCATGATGACGCGACCAAACTTTTGACACGCAACTTCTTTACATTGGTGCTTTCCCAAGATCCGAAAGGGTTCACTTCACATCGATCCGCACAGAACTCTTCATTTGCCGCTGACCTGCTAAGCGATAGACCAGGGTAGGTAATTGATCACTGACAACTCCCCTGCACCCGTCCCAGCCCTGTAAGACCGGCCACGGATAATAATGTGCCACCAAGACGAATTCGAACGGCATCTGCACGGCAGACACGTTCGAACAAACTACAAATAAAAAACGTCCGCATGAAAAAGGCAAAAGCAGACGAATTACACTTCCCCACAGATAATGGTGGGGCTCTAATCTACTTGAAAGGGTTCCACGTCTGAAGCTTTATGTCGTGGCCGGAGCGTTAAGTGTCAGAAATGGGTAAACAACACCATTTATTCGTCACGTTGAGGCGCATGGTGGCAGGTGATGGAGCTTTCCAGACGTTTCCGTGAAAATAATCCGGCTGAGTGTCCCTATATTCCGGTCGGAGGCCTGTGGGCGTCGTATCAGTCAGAAGCCATACTAAC